AAAGCTGCGCCAGTGCGGTTGGCAGGTGTTGCCTCATGCTCCCTACAGCCCGGACATGAGTCCACCAGACTTCGACTTATTCCGAAAGTTGAAACGACCTATGCGAGGCCGTCGTTTTCCCTCTCTGGAAGAGCTTTCTGCTGCAGTACCCGAGCCTTCAACAGATAAACAAAGATGGTGTCCTGGATGGAATAGTAAAGCTTCCCACACGTTGGGACTCGGTCATTGAGAAGCAGGGGGACTATATTGAAGGACTGTAAAGAGATATTAAAAAAAATAAAGATGGACGTAAACAAAAAATTGTCTGCATTATTTCTGAAATGACCTACGTATCTGGTAGAATAACTGACGTAATCTTGTTGGATTTTAGGTTCTGGCACCGCTGTGTTCTGGGATATAGAGCCATGTAGATTTCTCAGACATCTTCGAAATAATTTTTTATTTCTCTATATAGTTTCATCGTATTTTAATAATTTTACCTGTTTTCTTTATACTGTTTAATTAAATATATAATTCGAGACCGTCAATTGCAGAAGAGTGCAGTGTTCCTACACCTGTTTGCTGAATCCGAGTGTGCGTTTAAAGTTCAAACGTTTGAACGGCGTCGGAGTACGGACGAACGTTACAAAGTGGCCCCACGTCCAACAGAACTGCACCTGGAAACAAAATTCCTGACTTAGTTCATATATTTCAGGCACTTATTTTTTTGTTTTTATAGGCTGTGCATAATGTGTACGAGTTATGGAATTTGGTGTCCGTCTGCATGTTTTATCTTGCAATCCGGGTTTTCGACAATAAGATGTAAGATTGGTAGTAAAAGTATCGGGCGAATTTTTTGTTGGGACACGTTGTATAACCCTCGCTTTAGGCTGACACGACATCGGACATTTTTTATGACTCTTGGCAAAAATATATGCGAGGGAAGGTTGTCCTATGCCTGTACATCATATTTTGTTTATTTAACGTGAGGAGTCGGGATAGCATAGTCGGTATAGCGACTGGCTATGGGCTGGACGACCGAGGGGTCGGAGTTCGAGTCCCGGTAGGGTCAAGAATTTCCTCTTCTCCAATCGCCCAGACCGGCTCTGGGGTACACCCAACCTCCTATACAGTGAGTAGGGGGGTCTCTTTCCCCGGAGCGTGAAGCTGACCACTCACCTCTAACTAGTGCCGACGTCAAGAAACTGTGGATCTATACCTCCACTCCCCCATAGTCAAGCACAGTGACCAGCTTTACCGTACCTTTTTACGATGCCGTTAGTTACTCAGACTACGTAGCGAATTGTTAGTAAATAATGGATTGGATAGGATGTGGGAGGAAGCGGTTTCCCTAACATTTGCCCCGGGGGGGGGGTGTTCGACGACGAATCTCAGCCCAAGAGAGATAGTCTCCTGCCTAAGATTTTAACTCAGAACCTTCCGAACATAAAGCACAACTGCTATCCACTCGACCTCCACGTTCGGTATCGCGCTATAAATGTGGTATACACGTATGTATGTCAAAAGTGAAGCTATCCCTGTAACAGGCCTTGGAAACCCATAGAGTTGTGGGACGTCGAGGCTCCCACATTTTCTCTAGACAATCGGTTTACAGATGGCGGACACCCTTTACCTCTCAGGAAGATTCTTGGTACTCATTTCTGTCAGAGGCTGATTCGAACCTAGGGCCATAATGCGGCTGGAAGGATTAAGTCAGTTGAAAATTGCAATGACCTCATCGGAAATTGAACCCGCAACCTTCCGGCTAACTGCGCTACTGCGTGCCCCTAATATATATGCGGAAATAATGTTTTGCATTTACTCTTTTGCTTATTAGCTGCATATTTAAAACTGAAGTGGAGCCAGCACTTTTCAACGTTTGTGAGAACTGATCCGTCACGGCGATGGCTGTGAAGAATGCGACGTTCGTCGGTAGTTTTTTTTATTTTACGTCAATTTACAATGTACTTGACCACTGCAAGTAATAAGTAAATGCGATGGGTGTTTATGTCGTGAAGGCGGCAGCTGCCCAGTGGCAGTACTCTACCTTTTAGTTACATAAGTCTTCTGGCCAGGTTGTCCTCAGTCGTCTTGCTGCTGGGTGCGGTTTCGTTAATTCAACGATTAGCGTGTTCTCGTATCCTGTTATCCGAGTACGGTGTCTGGTGGCATGTTTTCTGATCTCTTCCGTGATGAGGGGTATGTTGAGATCGTTGTGGATAGTTCCGTTTGTTACGTACCATGGTGCGCCTGTGATTCTTCTTAGTGTTTTCGATTGGAATGTTTGGAGGATTTTGGTATTGGATGGTCGAGCGCAGCCCCACAGCTCGATGCCATAGGTCCATATAGGTTTTAAGAGTGCCTTGTATAACAGGGTTTTGTTCTCCAGGGACAATTGCGAGCGTTTTCCTAGCAGCCAGCGCAGCTGTCTCTCTTTCAGCGTTAACTGTTGGCGTTTCTTTTTGATGTGAGTCCTCCACGTGAGTTTTTGATCTAGGTAAAGACCTAAGTATTTGACTTCGGTGTTGCTTGGTATGTTCCTGTTGTTGATTGTTATTTGCGGACAAGTGGTTCGGCGATTGGTGAAGGTGATTTGGACTGATTTCTCGTTGTTTATGCTCATGCGCCATTTGTGGAACCACTGTTATAGGAGATTTATGTGGTTTTGTACGTTTGCGGAGGCAGTTATCGGATTATGGTTCGCTGTGAGTATCGCCGTATCAACAGCAAATGTGGCCACTACTGTTGTCGGTGGTTGGTAGGTCAGCCGAATATATCAAGTATAGGAATGGGCCCAGAACACTTCCTTGCGGTACTCCCGATTTTATGTTGCGGATGCTTGAAACGTCAGTGTTTTTTCTAACTTGGAAAGACCTTTCGGAGAGGTACGATTTCAGCAAGAGGTATATTTGATTGGGTAATCTCTTGATTTTATAAAGTAGGCCTGCTTGCCACACCTTGTCAAATGCTTGTTGGATGTCTAGAAATACGGCTGCGCACACCTTCTTTTCTTCGATTGCTTCCGTGATGTATCGCACCACTCTATGGCACTGTTGCACTGTTGAGTGTCCTGTCCGAAATCCAAACTGGTGGTTAGGTATTAGGGTTGATATGGGTGCTATGGCTGTGACTCGTTTGAGGAGGAGTCTTTCGAATATTTTGGAAGCTATAGGCAGAAGGCTAATGGGCCTATAAGATGTGATCTCTGTATCAGGTTTGCCCAGTTTGTGAATCATGATTATTTGTGCAAATTTCCACTGTACGGGGTAGTAGCCTAGTCGAAGCATACTGTTGAAAATGGCTGTTAACAGCGCCAGTGCCTTCCTGGTAAGGTGCTTGAGGACTTCACCAGTGATGAGATCGTACCCAGGCGTTTTGCGGGGTTTGATGTTTTTGATTTCTTGCATTATTTCCCTTGGGGAGATGTGTTTCAACGAGTGGTCAGTTTGACATGGCATATCCAGATAAGCATTAATTTCCGTCTCGTCGTCCACGGCGTTCGTAGGTAGGGGTGTGAAGACTGTCTCGAGATAGTGTGCAAATGCTTGACCCTTTTCAGGGTGTGTTCTAGCCCAGCTGGCGTCAGTGCGTCTGATTGGAGGGGTTGCTACTGTCGGTCTCCGGAGAGTTTTCGTTGCCTTCCATAACGAGTTGTCTTCAGGTGCTAAGCTTGAGGTGTATTGTTGAAAAGAAGCATTTCGGGTTTCCGTTAAGACCGAGCGTAGTTTGTGTGTGAGACGGTTTAGGAGGGTAATCGTCGGTAGTTGTTGAACAAATTGCAGCTCTTGTGTAAGGGTGTGGTGACGATGGCAGGGATAAATTGGATGTGAAATTTATTCATGACTCAGGGATGTTGTGATTACATTTTATTTTTGTAACCGAACATCATGAGCATTTCCATGCTTTCAGTTAGAATTACTGTACTGCTAGTTAAGAAACGTGTCTGAACAACTTTTGGTATGTAGGTTAGCCAGCCATCTGTTTAAAGTACAGTTTTCACTCATTTCAGATCTCTTAGAGTTCTGCCTGATGCAGGGAAATTTTAATGGATGAATGCACAGATACGGGTGAAGATAAACGTAAAGCTTTCCCTCTAATGAGTACTGCCACCAATTCATACAGAGGCATTGGATGAACGTCGATACTAGAGAGAGAGTTGAGTGCAAAGTTTCATACTCTAGCTTCATTACACCGAAGACAAAATTATTGGTACTCACTAGATAGGGGCATTTGTCCCCGCCCCCAACCCTCGGGCCAGTTCGAACTTAGTGGCGAAAAGAAAAATGTGTACGTCTGCCAGATTCGATTTGTGGTGTCAGTCTGCAGCCGGTCAGATGTAGGATACGCATACTTCTGCAGCCGGTCAGATTTGTCCTGATTCTGCTGTGTGTCAGTTCCACTTCGAGTCGCATGAGACTGTGACCACCGTAGACGCAGGGACAGAAGGCGTGAAAGGGAAGGAGCATGATTGCTTTTAGAAAGTGTGTCCGTATTTCCATAAACAAAGCTATAAGAATGCATTGCCTTGAAGCCACTGTGAACCACGCAAATTAGTTTCAATGATTGCCACATGAGGGCGTCACGTTCGGCTGCATAATTGCAGATATTCATTAACAAGGTTCGAAAAACAGGAGAATGGACCACTGAAATCAGCTAGTAAATGGAAGTATTAATACAGATGTTACATGAATTGTATTTAATTCTTCAGAAAATTAGGCATCGCTCTTAAAATACGAATAAAAGTAGCATGAAATTATGTAGACAAACAAGTTTAGTTTGTTGTAATAAATATTATGTTGCAGGTCTAGCATATTCAGGCAAAGGTCTTTCTTCCATGACAACCAACAAACACTGCCGCACTTACTAAGGAAATGTCAGTAGAAAGTCTGTCTCTAAGTGATTTTACACTATAAACTCCATCAATATGAGAATGTGACCTCGTATTGTCATGTTCAGTCTAGTTATATTAGTATCGATGTAGAGAATGTCATTACCAATACACCACGCTCTAACATTAACAGGTGCCTCGGCTGCGTAACATGGATGCCTTGACGCAGGATATATTGGTTCATTGGCTCTATATTAGAGCACTTGGACATGATTTTACGGAGCTAGCCTGCATGAGCATCTAGTTGCCTGTTTAGAAAAGAACCTTCCAGAGCTTTTTAAAATAAATCGCAATAAGGTCGGCAGATGGTCATATCAAAGAATAAATGAAACTGCATTTTGTGTTCAAGTATTGCAAATGGAAGTGAGCAAACATTTCGACAGAAAATTAAGTGAAAAGTGATGTGGCAGTGATCTGTTGGCGGTTTGTGAACTGTATTACAGTAGTGCTTGCTGGAGCAAAAAGAAGCATGAATTAGGTAGGTAGCAAAAGAGAAGACAAGTGACTTTAACGCAGTGAATTTGTGTCCGATAAATACCACTGTGACGTGACTGTATTCGTTAGCTCTACTGCTTTGCTTTACTGAAGTTTCTGGCTCTTACTGTGATCTGGAGACAGACTGTCTTGAGGTATTTGGAATTTTCCTCGAGTCTCGTTCTAGTGACCTGGTACTGAGCCATGGAGTTTTGGCACTTATCTCGGAATAATGAGTGACGCGAGTATGAAAACTGATGTGCGGTGAATGAGTTTGGTCGAAGTCGTGGCGATAGTTTCGTCGCAATGTTTGAGAGTTGTCATCACAGTGCTGACTCGGACGGCAGCTCCACCAGTCCACGTTGTGCAGACGTTGCCGAGAAATTAGCCCAGCTCTTTGGCTGGCGACAGACTTACAAAGTGGAGAAACTGCAGAGGTCTTTAGCCGACTCCGTTGCCCGAAGGAACCTTCTGCAGCAGGAGCAGCAGCAGCTGCGGATCCAGCTTGCTGCAGAGAGTGTCAGAGAGGTGAGTGACATAAGCAATATTTGGATCGTTGGTTCGCGAAATGCGTTCCGACCAACCAACGGGGTTTTAAAGGTAAGGTAAGGTAATGTTGCCCCTGTAATTAACTAATTCAGCACTACGCCATGAAGGCGTATGGGGGAGAGATCCACATTTTCTTGACTTTGGCACTAGCTGGAGGTGAGTGGTGAGCTTCACACCCCTGCCGCTTTACTCCCGGTGAAAGAGTCCCCGGTACCCATTGGATAGGAAGTTGGGTGACCCAAGAACCGGTCTGCACAACGTGGAGAAGAGAAAATTCTTGACCCTACCGGGACTCGAACTCCGACCCCTCGGTCATTCAGCCCACATCCCGTCGCCATACCGACTGCGCTATCCCGGCTCCACAACTGGGTTTTAATACTAATAATAAATGTAAACGGAGACGTTGCCCCTGCGCTTAAACATCACGCTGTGAAGGTGTGAAGTACCTCGCATTCTTAGCCTCGACCCAGAGGGATATGCTGGGATAGCCACATGGGTCAGTACGGTCTCAGGCGCTTTATCTCGGGGATTGAGTCCAATGATTGAGGTTAGCTCTTTCTAAGGGGCTCAACTGAGTAGGTGTCTTCATTTCTCACCTGAAGACGGACATAGATTAAGTTTCCGAGACATCGTGTCCTCTGTTACCTACAATTCCGGACGATGGGAAAAGTCCAAAACCCAGTAATTCTGTGTGTCATCCACCATCTTCAGAACCCTTTAGGATCTACTTGAGTCCATTTGTTACGCCAGCCATTAGTGGTCCTATTGTACCATTTCCGGATGATGGTGGTAGATAAGCTAGGAGCAGTTGATGAAATGAGAATCGGCAGGGCAAACCGGAGTACGAAGGCTGCTCGAGTGTCACTTTGCCCACCATAAATCCCACATCATCTGAACTTGGATCGAATCCCGGCCCCTGCGGTGCCTGAGCTATGGCACGACCAAGAGACACCGTTTCTCATCCGATAGAAGGCTGGGTGGATCCCAGAGCTTCCGAATATGATGACCAATAGAAACATCGCTACATGTACCGGGATTTGGACACATCACGTCCCTCCGGGTCTGAGCTATAACAACAACAAGCAGCGTTCCCGTGCGGAAGAAGCTGCGATTCCAGAAAGTATTCATGTTGTTCGTGGTGGCTTCTTACTTTGCCCGGTAAATCTTGTGGGAAGGGGGCTATGGGGCTCGACACCAAGACTTACTGACTGACTGACCGTCAGCAGCAAGGTGACTTCTTTGACCAGGACATTCCCCGTGTGGAGGCGGCGTCGAATACCTCCACCGTGACCCTGCGAGTCGTCGGAGGAGACGAAATGGGAAGCCTCAAATTTGAGAGAGTAAAATATGGTCGCGGGTCCAAGGGACTCGGACCAGAGAAAGACTGCGCTGGCGAGGACCAGCAGCATATACAAAAGACAGACCCGTCCCTCGTTAGACAGGGCGCCCCACAGAAACAAGACCGTAAGTGTCAAACAGTAATAAATATCTGATGCGTGGAATTATATCTTCACTTACTCAGATATCTTCTTCTTGTGGGTAATTACGTTTACCTTTACTTTTACATTTTAATGATAGTAATAATCGCATCAGCAACGAAGATTTACTGTACGTGCAGATAATTGTGTTTCTAAAACAAGTCATCGGATATTGTTTTCAGCACTCAACTCATACACGCTTACACGCCAAACGCATGAAGCAGTCCTTGAGAATAACAATAAGCTGAACCTCCATACACCGTTATCACTGACGAAGAATTACCAAATAATAGAGATTACATAGATAAGGCAGACGAGGAGCCTTATAATTATTATAATATTCAGTAGGCTTAGAAGATACCCTATGATAAATGAATGAAAGGAACGTGGAAATGAACACAATAAAACACCCACTACAACAAAATCAGTGTCGAATAAATAGGTAATTAAAACAAATTAAATAAGGACCACATACCATTTCAACCAAAAAGAAAAAGAGAAGCAAAAAAAAACAAATGGGCCAAGTTCAAATATTTCGGACGTGAAATAAAAAATGTTACCGACATATTTAAAGACACCGATTTAAAAATAGCATATAAACTACCAATACTATACGAGAACACTTACAATTGAAACACAATAAGAATGAATATGATAATAGTGGTGTATATAGCACTCAAATATATGGACTGTCCTGTACAATATACAGGCCAAACAGGCAGCTCGTTCAGAACGCGATTCAAGGAACATATGCATCCACCAAAAGACGACAAATATACGTCTGCCTATCCACATCACATTCTAAATACTGGATACTCATATGGGGACATAAAACATGCGATGGAAATAATAGAATTAGCTACAAAACCTAGGCATACATATACACAGAGGGGTCCAAAAAAATGTACTCACTCTTTGATAGTATCATTGGAACAAAATGACATGTAGTTACAATTCTTGCGCGAAGAAAGAGAAAGAGAGTCATTGTATGTGTTCGAAGTGACCACCATCAGCGGCTAAACAGCGTCGATGCCGCCGAACTGCTAAGCGAACTACGGCTATCAGTGTGTCCGGCGTGATGGCTGCACTCGACACTTCGATGGTTTCTCGTAGTGCGTTCAGTGTTGATAAACTTCATCCTTCAAGGTTCCCCATAGGTATAAGTCGAGAGGTGTTAGATTTGGAGACCGTGGTGGGTACTCAGTAGCACCTCTTCGACCTATCCATCGTCCAGGTAGAGTGTCATCCAAGTACGCCCTGACATCTCGATGGTACTGAGGTGGAGCACCATCTTGTTGTAGGTAAAATCACTCATCTCCAAACAACTCTCGAATGGCAGGGAAAATCGATGTCTGAAGTATATCGAGATACACCTGACCAGTTAGGGTACCTTCAAAGAAGAAAGGACGAATCAAACCGCGCGATGACAGACCACACCACACATTAACACCCGGGAGATTCACTTCCTTGCCCACATGAATGTGTGGATTTACAGGAGCTGTTGGTGGCTGATTTCCAAACTCATTCTGCCAGTCGTTGTACCTCTTTAATGTTTTCGTACCACTTCAGTACAGCCTTGCGTTGCTCAAAGAACAACCTTTCAGCCATTGTTGCTGCTGTCTTCTGCTCGCAGTGCGCACGCGGCACGACACTCGCGTGACCCATGTGACCTTTGCCATCTGTTGAGATAACATTACACTACACTACCGCGCAAGAATTGTAACTACATGCCATTTTGTTCCAAAGATATTGACTATCAAATAGTGAGTACATACATATATATATAATGAATGTATAGAGAAATATGACAACCTTTATACGCAAAAATAAAACAATCGAATGAAAAAGATATTGTTTGATTTTAAGAATCGCATATTTGCTGCAGTATATAACCATTACGCTAACCAGTAACAAGTAAACAAAAAACCCCAGCCCACCACCACACCACATTAAAACACATAAACCTAATTATTTCACAGTATCAGTCTCACGTATTCACTCACCGTAGGCATATCGCCATCGACCCTAGACAAGAAAACTACTATCACAAAACGCGCAATAAAAAATGTTACATTCATATATGTATTTCAGTTGTATTGCACGAGCTAAGTGAGCACCTCGCTCCGATACTCGCAGGAATAGTGCAAAGGCCCTGAAAACCAGCAGTAACTGCCAAAACTTGTGTAATAATAATAATACAAAAATGTACTGACATACGAAGTTATGTGAGTGACAGGAAGCCGAAAAGCTATGAACGAGGTAGAAAAAATGCAAATTCTAGTAATTGATAACAGTAATAGTTATTTGTTCATTCTGATATTTTGTTCAAAATTCAAATTAATTTTAACTTAATATATAAACTTGCATATGAGTTATATCCGGCGTTAACACTGTAAAAGACACGACATTCGCCTTAAGGAAATTTTAAACATTGGCCAGTGTAAGGGAATAATAGCAAGATAATAGAGTGTTTATATAATATAACTTACTTGATGATGGCCTGAATGGCTGAAACATGTTATAGAGTGAAAACTATTCAATTTATACATGAATTGTGTCGACAGAACATACAATAAATAGTTCGCATGCAATGTAACGCAAGGGTACCACATTGCAGTATTACAGTTATAGAATTCGATGTAGCACTAAACAGGAATGCTCTGTGTATCAAAAGAAAAAGGAAGAAAAAAAATGACAATGTTGTATGCGCAATTAAAAATTATGGCGTGAAAGAACAGTGGACTGTGTCCCCATAATATTGTGACAGATTGGGCCGTTGCTAGGTGACTGACCGGTAAACACATCTCAGCAACATATGCACAACAGTAGGGCGTCCATTGCTAGGCAGTGCAAGGGTGGACACGCCTGACAACAACTGAAGAGCAGTGTGGTTTCTGTGGGTGATCCGTTCTGAGCCTATATGTGGAACAGTGAAGACTGCTCGAGCAGATTCGCCAGGAAGACCTCGTTCAAAGCAGTCCAGTAGTTGTGTTAATGTAATAAAGAATTTTAGTTATGACGTGTGAAATTATCGAATAAATCGAGTTATCAAATCCGAAACCGATTATTTACTGTTGCGTTTCCAAGGTACGCGTCACACTGGCGGACTGCCACAACTACTGCAGTGCCACTTGAGAGTGCTGCATATATCCATTTACAAACAGCAGGAGTTTTTGACACCCGCAGGTTACTCTTTCTTTGGTTTCGGGCATCAGATGACCAAGCTTGGGTGGGGGAGAGAACTTTGTTTCTCAGAACATAAACCTAATGTGGATTGTTATCCTCTTGGGTTTTAGCAGCGTACAGTCTCGTAGATGCCAGTCACAGTGGCCGCGCGGTCTAAGGCATGAACTGCCTTCGCTCCTTCTGGCGCTGGGATCGTGGGTTCGAATCCCACTCAAGACATGGATGTTTGGCGTGTGTGTGCGTTTATTCTGTGTTAATGTTCTCCTGTGTGTAGGTAGCACTTGCGACGGGCTGATCACTCGTCCAAGGAGTCCT